TGTGTGTGTGTGTGTGTGTTTGTGTGTGTGTGGGGTGTGTGTGTGTGTGTGTGTGTGGGGGTGTGTGTGTGCCCACTTTTGGTGTCGGTCAAGAGTTCTGGAAACCCCCGAAATCTAGGTTAGCCCGTTTGTTCTTAATTAAAAGCGACCATCTTTTCTTACACTGCTCTCGAGCTGTTGTTTTTTTTCTTTTTCAACTGCATCACAGAGGAGAAGGGTCAAGGTCGAGAGAGAAGCCGCCAGGAGGTGCAGGGAGGTCAGGGAGGTCAGGGAGGTCAGGGAGGTCGCCATGGAAACCGCGGGCTTACTGAACGCGCTGTTCAAGTACATCAAAGGAGACCCCGTGGAGCGGAACAAGACGTGAGTCTTTGTCCCACTTGTGGCGTGAGTGGGGGGTTGGCGGGTGCTCTGCTGTGGTTGGATCCTTCTCTCCGGTCATGCCAGACTACCCGAGGATGATGTACATCTATAATCCTGGAATGTCTATCTGCTGAAACAGTTACTTGTCTTACTAAGTTTGCACGTAATACACTATTTGACACTATAATAAGCACTTTTTTCTACTAATCAGATGGCGTCAATCTCATATAAATGGGCAAGGGATAAAAAAAAAAAGACTAACCGACGGATAGCTTTTATTCAGAGTCTCAAATGGGGGCACTTTAAATATGTACTACGTACTTTGAAAGGGAGTGCTGTGTAAAAAAAAAGAGTGGGGTGCAAAATGAAAAGTTTAGAAGGACTGTTAAAAAAACAGAAACAAAAGAAAAAAAGGGGAGGGGTTGGGGCGGGGTGTTGGAGTACTGGGATAGGGGAAGGGGTCATAGTTCAGATAGTGAGACATTAGTAGGAGAAAGAGAGAAACATTTGGATAATTTTTCGTTCATTTTATGTTCTGATATGTCTGTCCCACCAGCGAAGTTGAACCCGAGACATGCTCCAACCTGCTGATAAAAGAGACGTTGTTTTACCAGCTCTGCCTTATCCCCTCCGTGAGTACGCACTTGTGGGAGAAATGGGAGAAATAAAGAGCTGATAGAAATATCTGCTAGAAATATCTCTATAATACCTGCTATAAATATCTCTATAAATACCTGCTTTAAATATCTTTATAATACATGTACCTGCTGTAAATGTCTCTATCAATACCTGCTATAATTGTCTCTATAAATACCTGCTATAAATATCTGTACAAATACCTGCTGTAATTATCTCTATAAAAATCTGTTATAAATATCTCTATAAATAAATAGTTTCTATAAATACCTACTACAAATAGCTGTTATAGATATCTACTACAAATATCTGTTATAAATATCTGCTGGGCAAATACGTGTTATAAATGAGTCTATAAAAAAATACCTGTTAAAAATATCTACTCCTCAAATACCTGTTATAAATATGTTTTAAATGATAATATATTATAAATACACGTACCTTCTATAGATACCAATTGTTAACGGGGGCTCTCGTGGTCTAAAGGTTAAGGTGTTGGCCTCTCATTCAAAGGTCCCGGGTTCGAATCCGGGTAGCGACCGAAAAAAAACTTTCTCTAAAATTGTCTCCTTTCACCTCCTTTCCTGCTCTCTAGCAATGTTCTGTTGTCTGCTTTCATTTCCACTTTCTGCCCCCACCCCCTCACATCCTTTGCCCCCTCCTCTGGGCTCCTGACTCT